AGCATCACGGTGGTGTGGTCCTATCTCAGCATCATGGTGGTGGTGATTCTATCTCAGCATCACGGTGGTGGTGGTCCTATCTCAGCATCATGGTGGTGGTGGTCCTATCTCAGCATCACAGTGGTGTGGTGCTATCTCAGCATCACGGTGGTGGTGGTCCTATCTCAGCATCACGGTGGTATGGTCCTCTCTCAGCATCACGGTGGTGTGGTCCTCTCTCAGCATCACGGTGGTGGTGATTCTATCTCAGCATCACGGTGGTGGTGGTCCTATCTCAGCATCACGGTGGTGTGGTCCTCTCTCAGCATCACGGTGGCAGTGGTCCTATCTCAGCATCACGGTGGTGTGGTGCTATCTCAGCATCACGGTGGTGGTGGTCCTCTCTCAGCATCACGGTGGTGGTGGTCCTATCTCAGCATCACGGTGGTGTGGTCCTATCTCAGCATCACGGTGGTGGTGGTCCTATCTCAGCATCACAGTGGTGTGGTCCTCTCTCAGCATCACGGTGGTGGTGGTCCTATCTCAGCAACACAGTGGTGTGGTGCTATCTCAGCATCACGGTGGTGGTGATCATTGATCTTACACTCAACCCTCACTGGTGGTCAAGACCTCCCTCCCTCACCTCACAGTAAGAAGGGCCTCAGATAGAAGCGGGGGAAGTTGAGGACAACCACGTGGACGTCCATGATGTCTGTAAGTGGGGGAGGATCCTCTTCTCTCCCCACTCCTAGAATAAACACTGAGAGGGCCAAATAGGCACGTGAGAGGGCCAAGGAGGAAGCAGGATGCTCAGGTCTAACTGGAAAGATGAAGAAGGTGTCCTCGAGGCTCACTTTGGCTCAACCTGGCAGACTAGGGTAGAGGCCCAGATACAAGCTCACCCACCACGGTCCCAGCTGGAACTCGGCCTGCATTTGCCTGGAGCGCTGTCCTTACCGCAGAGTAGGAACTGTGCCATGAAGCCCAGGGACGCCATCCCAGGGGAAGCTGCTCACTCTGGGGGAGCAACGACAGGCTGTGGCATTTCCTTGACTGTGTATTAGAACCTTGTATTGGTGCTGCAGTTTTCCTGAGAACACACGAGTGCAATTATAAAGCACATCAATGCAACAATGATTCACTCTGCAAAGAATCTAAACAAACCCGTCCCTTCTCACTCCCATTGCAGCTTTTCATGAAGGGAGGCATACCTGTTCTGTGGTTGAGGGAAAAAAATGCGCATCACCAGTTCTTACTTGTAGGAACTTACCTCTGAATTTGTAAAGTGAATAAAGCTCTTCTGGGAGATACACTGAACCACAAAAACAGAAACAGAAAGTTTGCCTCATCCATCTACAACGCCCAACACTGTAAAGTTTGAAACAAGGAGCCCAAGGGCTTGAGAGCAGCAGATAAGATTATGAAAATTTCTCAGGTTAGTTTCGTTGAAAACCTGGTCCTTTAAAAAAGTACATAACTCCATAAAGGAAAAGACTGATGGGTGTAACTGTCTAAAAAGTATAAAGACTTCTGAATGTACACATACACATGCACACACATAAATAAAGTCAAAAGACAAATAGTAAACTAAGAAAAAATCTTGCAACTTATAACACAAAGGGTTACTTTAATATATAAAGAGCTTTCACAATTCAATAAGAGAAAAGTGAACACTCTAATAGAAAGATGAGCAATTTGTTAAAAAAGAAATATGAATCACCAATAATCAGAGACACATCTGAAATAACCACAGGATGAATATTCTTTCCTGTCAGACTGGAAGATGAAAAAGAAGGATAGATACAGTGCAGATGAGGCCACGAGTGGGAATTCCCACAAACACCGGCTAAGTATGACAATTCCCAAATATTGAATGCATATCCCCTTTGACTTATTAATTTCATTTACAAGAAAGCGTCATAAATAATCATCAACGTGTGAAAAGATTTAGCTACAGAAAACATTTACTACAACATTGTTAATAATATATTAAAGAAAACCCTAAATGCCCAAAATTGAGGATTTAAATATATCACATTTTAAGAACCATTCACTAGAATACTATGCAGTCTTTAGAAGTGACTATTTAAAAAGGTGATTCTATCTATTTATATTGCCTATGTTATTACATAGTTCTAAATATATAATATCATGTAGTATCCATATCTTTGTCGTTAGTGCCATGGAGCGGATTCTGACTCCCAGTGACCCTGTGGACAGCAGAGCAGAACCTGCCTGGTCTTTTTGCGCCATCCTCTCCTCTCATCTTCCGGCGCTGTATCAGATGATGCTCCACTGCTATTCATGGGGTTTTCATGGCCAATTTTTTCAGAAGTGGGTGGCCAGGTCCTTCTTCCTAGTCTGTCTTAGTCTAGAAGCTCTGCTGAAACCTGTCCACCATGGGTGAAATTTGAAATACCAGTGGCATAGGTTTCAGCATCACAGCAACACGCAGCTGTCACAGTGTGACAAGCGACAGATGGGTGGTGTGGGTCCCTGACCAGAATCGAACCTGAGCTGCCGTGCTCCATGGAATCTTAACCACTAGACCACCAGGACTGGCTCATCCATATGTATATACATATAGACGGAATGCTACTCCAAGTAAAGTGGCTTGGTTTGGAGATTGGGGACCTAAAAATATATAAATATATGATAGATCCATAGATATAGATATATGCATATATATCGAAATATTAACACATTTCTAGGTTTATGATAACTCATCTTATTTATGCTGTTTGTCTTTCTTCTGGATTTTTTGCAAAGATTACTTTATATGCAAGTGAAAAAATACAACCATTTCAAAAAGACAGAATGCACCTGTGGGCTAGGGCCCTGAAGCTAGAAGCAGCCCTTTGGGCCACTGAGGATTCACAGAGCAAGCCAAAAACGTCCAATGTGGATTCCTTAGAATTAGGGTAGCCATATAATTTATCACCCAAACCAGGACACTTCTGAGACTGAAGGGGAAACTATTAATAATTTTGCATAATCCTGGACTCCCAAGGCCCACTCAGCCGACTGGTCAGCCTGCTAAGAATGAACAGCCGGCGCAACATGTCTTTGAAAATGACCCAGTGCTAGAGTGTCAGAGGCCCACAAACACAGAAACTGCCCTTTCATCTGTACAGCTGGGTACAACTGTTAACCATGCTGGCCAGATGGCTAAAGAACCTTGAAGAGTTCAAGTTTCTCCCCTATTTAGCTCATTTGGATCCACAGAGCCATAATTCTAGAGATGTGTTCTTGATAAAAAGCATTTCTCAAAGAACTGTGCCACTTGATTAAGACACACAGCATCATTAGGCAGCTTATCTCATACAGCAGATTTCAATCTCGGAAACCCTGTGAAACACCTTCAAACCCTCCTGGATTCCAAATCCCCCCGTGTGACTTACCCGTTTTCCACTAAGGGCTGTGTTTCAGGAACTATTATCTATGTGACCCGAGGCTCTCCCTTACGATGACCACTGTCCCCATCCATCCAGCTGCCCACTGGCTATTTATAGCCTGCCAGTCTTTCCCGGCCCAGCTCAAACTTCTCCTCTCTCCCAAGCCTTCACCGCCCACCACAGAAACCTGTCTGCTCAGACACCCACGGCATCGCCTAGCTGCAGCTCAGATTGCCACCTTCTTGTGGGCTATCCTGCTCTCCGCTTGTTGATTGCACAGACATCTCCCTCAAACCAGACTGTATGCTCCTCACGGAAGCAACTCCTCACAGGCTATGTCATCTGACTTGTGGCCAGGCAAGGTCAGCCCGTCAGGACTCTTACTCCTGGTCTAAAATAGGGGCTGTCATTCCTTCATATACTCCACCCCCAATCAGACTTGAGTGGTTAGTAGGCATTATAAGAAACTATTCTTTTGGTTAGCCCAAGTGCCTGGCTGGCAAGGTGGAAAAACTGAAGCCTGCTCAACTGAGGCAACTGGTGAGGCCTTTCTTCCCTTAAAACACCAGGAAACGGCACACACTAAAGATTCAGAACAAAGTTAGAGTGGAACACTTCCGGCGGAGAGCAGCGTCTGTGCATTGAAGACAGTTCTGTGGGTACAAAGGATGAAAGCTCAGACAATCTCTGTTAACACTGCAATGCCATCACACCCACCTTACGAGATTTTACTTGCATTTTGATTCTCCCTGTATGGGGCCCGCATGGAGCTCATCAGTTGATCAATGGTCCAACATCTGCCCTCACCCTCAGGAGAGTCCAGCGTCTGCCATTACTTGGCATCAGTCACAAACCACACAACACACATTGCTCAATCAATCAATGGGTCAACCCATAATTGAGATGATACTCTTTGCACCTCCCACTGCCAAATCTATTAAGATGATATACATGTCACTGTCTCTGCCTCCAAGCCAAACTTAGGATGACTTAAACCATGATTGAAGTGTGAAGAACCAAATCGAGATACCAAGATCGTTTTATTATTCCGTCACTCAAGGCACTGTATTTCTCACACATGAGTCTCCTCGGGAAATCTGCCAATTCTAAGGCACTCATTGACCCCGCCATCACTCTACAACACTTCCAATCACACACGTGACCCGCGAGGGAGGGTGACTCCTGTCCAAACAGAAAGGGAAACTCCCAGTTGAACTGTTTACATACACAGAAGAGTCATCAACAACCCCCTTCCTTCTGCCAGGCCATCCAGCACCTTGGCGAACATTAGGAAAAGGCACACCTTCGTCAAGAAATTTTACTTCCATCTGTTAGAAAATTGTCTTCCTGTTCCCGATTTTGTTAGAACAAGCCACTTGGGTACCATCTGCCAGGAAAATTGTCACAATAAATCTCTGATGTCTGTGATGGGAATGGTGCTCCCTTAAAAGTGGCACAATTGTGCAGTGCACAACCAATGCAGTAGCCCTGGCCAGGTGTTTGAGCCCAATCAACCTTCCTGTTTAAATAGGAAAGCAACAGTCTGTAAAGGATTCAGAGAAGAAAGAGATCACCAAAGCACCTGATTATCCCATAACAACTATATGCATAAGCTAGAGAGCTTACATTTTCTTTGATTCCACAAATAGTATCCATCCGATAACATAATTTGGCCTTCATATATTGAAAGCGAAAGGACCCGGGGTTTTTCTCGTAGGAATGGAGGGTCTCACAGCTCCCACCACACTCCTGGCTAGGTTTCTGCAGGATGAAAGCAGCCCACGATGGCAAAGTGGCTGACGAGGGTCAGGCGTTCATTCTCTGGAAATGAAAAAATAAAGGAAACCTGCAATTAATTGGCCTACATCAATCCCATGACTACCATTTTGGGGATAAATCTTCGTTGTTGGGGGCCGTCCTGTGCATCTCACAGTGGGATGTTTACCAGCATCCGTGGCCTCTACCCACTAGATGCCAGTGGTACCTCACCCCCACTCACGACAAGCAAAAATGTCTCCAGACATTTGCCAAAGTCCTTGGGGTGGGGTGGGGGAGGGCGAAGGAGGCAGACTCACTCTTGGTTGAGAACAGCTGGGCCACGTGGAGATTTACATTTACAGCCTTAGCATCGTTCTCAGGAAGTGTAATCTGTGAGCAAGCTGGCCTCCAGACAATGGAGACCCCAGCCTCGCTCTAAGTTCTGCAACAATTGTTTCATGACCTTAAAGGCACTAGGCTTCTCCTTCCTGTCATACAAATATAACCCAAACTCTGGCCTCTCGTTTTCAGGATTTCCTCCCTTTGAGGGGATCAGGCTGGGGCTGGAGGAAAGGGTTAGGGACCTGAGCCATCACAGCCTAGGCATCCCTCCGCTCACCTGGCACCTGGCCGCCTCCTGGAGTCTGGGGACAGCACCCCTCTCTGGAATAACGGTGCTGTTACCACACAGGGCTGGCATGAAGTAAGGCTGGCAACTTTCAACCTGCCTACTGAGGCTGCCATATAAGTATAAGCCCCAAACTTAATTTCCCACAGCACAGCTATCTAAGACCAGGTCATTTAAAAACTTGACAGAAGCAAGAGAAATGACAACACAGAGAACCTTACGACTGGACACTGGGTTTGAAGGATTCCAGAGTCATACCTAGGTCATCCCAGACAGGTTCCCCTATGGACACTCCCTGGCCCGGCTCCCAGCCCACAGCAGCCTCTCACCTGCCTCATTCCCACCACCGGGGGAGACCTTCGGTGCTGGCTCTCTGGGAGGTCCAGGGCCCAGCCCGTCTCAGGCCTGCCCCTCCTCCCCTCCACCTTCACTTTTCACGGCTCCTCCTTCTCCCTCTGGGATGACTAACAGATGGGAATATCCACACGGAGTCTCCACCACCACGCACAGGGGTCGGCCTTTTCAGATCTTGAAAGACAGCGTCTCCCAACAATTCATTTCCCAAGTCTGAGATGCCCGGTTTGGGAATTCCCCTCGGGGGAGGCTGTCATCGCATCCACGCTGGCTGTGGCCACTGGCCCACCCGTATGGTGCTGGTGCCCTGTGAGCGTGAAGTGAAGTTCGGTTTCCAGTGACCTTCCTGACATGGCCCAGTGCCATCAGGAGATGTCCTGTGACAAATGTTGGACGATGACACATAGAACATACTTCTCAGGAATAACAAAAATACTTCTTTAAAGACATAGTGCTATGGTCTACATGGCAATTCCCCACCCCCTCAAATTTATACATTAAAATCCTAAGACCCAAGGTGGTGATATCAGGGGGTGGGGCCTTTGGGAGGTGATTAGGTCCCGCAGGGGGACCCCTCATGAATGGGATCAGTGCCTTTATGAAAGAGACCCCACAGATCCAGCTGGCCACTCCCACCACAGGGGAAGGAGGTGCCGTCTATGAACCGGGAAGCCCTCACTGGGCACCGAATCTTCAGCACCGTGATCCTGGACTTCCGGCCTCCAGAACTGTGAGAAGTAAATTCCTGTTGTTTATAAGCCAGTCAGTCTGTGATACTTTATTACAGCAACCCAAAGGGACTAAGACAGAGTATTCTAAACCTATAACGGAAAAGAAACATTTTTTTCTAACAGACAGCAAAACATATTATAAAGCAAGAGTAATTAAAACCATGGAATTGGTGCTGGAAAAGACAATTCAAGCAGTGGAACAGAAAAGGGAGCTCAGAGACAGACCCGTGTGTTTGGGAAGTGAGTATATGATGGCTCTCTACGGAGGGATAAACTATTCAATATACGCCTGGGGAAAACTGGAAATGTGTTTGGGAAAAGATCAAAAATTAATTTTTTACCTCACACAATTAACCAAAAATGTCTGAGGTCTAAAATAAAAAATAAAAACCTATAACGCATAAAGGAAAAATATAAGAAAATGTTTTATGACCTTGCAGAAGAGAAGATCTTCTTAAGCAAGATGCCGAAAGCAAAAGGCCTCAAGGAGAAGTCCTGATACATCCAACCACGTCCAGATGGGGAAAAGGTGTGTGGAAAAGACGCCGTAAGCAAGGTGAAAAGAACAAAAGCAACCAGCTGGAAAATCACCTTCTTTTCAAACAGATCTAAATCTAGAATGTATAGAAAATTCCTAAAAAATCAATAAAAGACCTAAAAATGCCAGTAATAAATCATTAAAAGATACCAATAGCAATTTACAGAGTGAAAATACGAGTGCAAGAACAAATGCCCAGATCTATACTAGAAATGGGGGAAATACAAATTAAAGAATATTTTTTAATGTGATATTGGCAAAAATCAAAATGTTTGAAAATGTTGAGTCTTAATTAGGACGTGAGGAAATAGACCCATTCCAGGGCCGCTGGGGGAGCATAAGTTAGTCAGCTGCATCAGAAGATAGCGTGGAGAGCTATGAGAATCCAAAGTGCACATACCCAGCAATTCTACTTTTGGGGAGAAATACTCCCTCATGTGCCCAAGGAACATATATAAAAATAAATATTTTTGACCGCCTTATTTTTTGTAAAACCAGAAACCTAAATGTCCATCAATAAGATAACAGATAGACAGATTGGACCTTTTTATGGAATACTATGCAGCAGTTTAAAAGAATGACATGCAGGGCTTCTGTGAAAAAAGAAAGTTGCAGGAAAATATCCAAAAAATGGTCTGTGGCACCTGTCAGCCTTGTTTACGCTCATGCAAGGCTTCTTTCTCAACCAGGGATTTTTTTTTTTTAAATCCACAAAATGATACTATTCATGTAAAAAAAAGAAAAAAGAAGAAGAACATACACAGCAACATCATCTGGACCTGTAATGATAAATATATACGGTAGGTAAAAGCACAGAAGACGATATGAAAACCTGGGGGGATGACAGTGACCACGACAAGAGAGTGACCCCATTCGAGGCGAATCTGAGGCAAAAGGGAATTATCTCCTTGTCTTTAGTTTCACTGTCTCCTGAGAACACATTCATACGTGATTTTTAGAATTCAAATATTAGGTTTCTTTTACAAAAGAAAATAAAATTTTTTTCAGAAGAAAATGATTAGGACAGCTGTTGCCACTGCCACGAGAAGGCAGATTTGTCCCGACCAGACTTAGGATGTGGCAGTCCCTTGGCGGAACCAAAAGGTCTTATAGGGTCTTCCATGCACAAGGGCCTGAAGACCTCGTCAAGAAGAAGTTTCAGACAGAGATCTCCAACACTGGCGCAGGGGCGGTGGCCCCACACAAAGGACAGAGAAGAGCATTCATTTCCTTTCTAAGGAGAAGGACCTTGGTCAGAAGCAACCACATGAGCCTTCCTGGCGTCAGAGGGTCAGCCTGTTCCTGGCTGGTCGAAACGAGGCATTGCAATTAAAGTAATAACCACAGCAAACGTTACAATTGTGCACTGTGCGCCTGGCTCTCTGCTGGGGGCTCAATACCCAGAATTGCAATGCTCATAACACGAAGAGAAGAGCCTTAGTACCCATTTAACAGACGAGGAAACCAAGGTTCCAATGGATTAAGAAAGGTTCTGAGGCAAATGGCTGATGAGCAATTCTAACTCATGCCTGCCCATCTCAGTCCTGTGCTCTGGCCCCCACCTGCATTGCGTCCTCAACACAAAACAGTTTGGAGGGCTGGACAGGCTCTGGTCCAATTAATACGCTAAATTTGTACTTATGTTAATGTTAAATCTGTATTTACATTTAGGTTATGGGCCAAAAGTGATTTCTACAACAACGCTAAAGAGAAGCTATCTTCTCTCCTGCCTAAGCCCAGAGAAGGAGCGAGGTTAGGAACGGGCTGGCTCGGCCACCCTCGGGGCAACCCACAGCATCAGAGTAGCTCCAGGGAGCCCCAAGTGGTCATAGTCAGAGGAGAATCTCCCGGGGGGGGGGGGGGGGGGGGGGGGGGGGGGGGGGGGGGGGGGGGGGGGGGGGGGGGCTCAAGGCAGCTTTCCCTCGAGATAACGCACTCCCATTTTGGCTTTTCTGCCCCAGTCAGAACGCAAATTTCATGTTCTGTAGTTATGTTTATTAATAGAGTCCATGTATATTCAGACCGGGCCCATGGCTAGGAGCTCATATTGAAACCAGTAGCCCAGAGCCTGGAATTCCTGTTTTCTTTCTTACTCCTGTTGCTCCTAGGGGTCATTTATCGAAGCCGGCATGGGAGGGGGCGGAACAGGCAGGCAGCACACGTGCCCTCCAGATGCAGGGAGCCTGCATAAAAGGTAACATCATACATAACAAATTTCCCCTCCAATCACAGTTCTCAGAGAGAGTGGGTTAGGGAAATAAATTTAGAGAGAAGAGTGGCAGATGGGGTAGATGGATTCAATTAAGGCAAACATCAAAGAATTTCAGAGATGCCTCCTCTGAACGGAACATGTCATTTTCTCCTCGTCACCTCTAGGAACCTCCCGACAGCAGCCTAGGTAGGAAGTGGGGTGCACACACAGAGCCTCGACCCCAGGAGGAGTTTAATATCCTCAAATGAGAGAGCTAATATTCGCTCTTCTCTTCTTTTCAATAATGTGGTGGAACAGCACAGGAACCAGACGAAGGGAACGCATGCTCCGTATGAGATGCACATTTCCACAGAAGCAGGTGTTATTCAAATTAAATAGACATTTTCCATTGTCATCTCAGTTGAATGGATTTCTTTATTTGGTCTACGGGAGAGTCTCCTTTTTAATTAAACCCAACCACTGTCACTTTTCTAAGAAAGATAATAAAACAATAAAAATATTTACATCCCTTTTATCTCCCTAAACATTAATCACAAGGGGAATAAGGTGTTATACTGTTGCTAGACAGTTTCATCACATTGACAGTATACTAACAGGCTTTAAATTACTGTTTTGCAGGTCAATTTATTCCTATTAAGAATGTATAAGATTCTCGTTGTCACTAACAGTATTCGTAGCTATTTACTACCAAAAGGAATTCAAGTCTGCAATAAATTTGCCATATACATAGTTGACATATATATATCCATAGTTATAAGGTATAGAAGTGTATATATAATATATATGCACCATGTTGACCTGAACACTACTCTGATGGACCCCAGCTTTCATCTAAAATCAAGTGTAAAATTCTAGTAGGTTTGATGACAATGCTTTCTTCATTCTCTGGCTCCCCGCGGGGTAATTTCATTGACAGCCATGTCATCCATATTTCCAAAGTCACAAGTGGGTTATAGTTTCACAAAGTTGGTACCATTCTCTCTCCAGTCAGTGGAGAAACTGTGGAAGGCTTAGAGTAGAAACTTTACCATTATATTCCATAACTCTAACTGCAACAACGTATACGTATTCTGATTATCAGCTAAACATGGCAATGTATCCAAAGTCTTATTTTGTAAAGATGCTTAATCACTTTTGGATTCCAGGCCATACTTTACTATGTTGCAAGCGAAAAGCCTCCCAGCTAGAAGGGAGTGATATTCAGGCTGCCACACCATCCTCAACCATCCTCAGGGTGTTGTGCAGAAATAACCTCTACTTGAGAGACTCGGCTGGGGCAGTAAACTGATGTGACAATACTGAATCATTGCCTTGTTTCTCTGCAACTGAGGTGCCCTCACTTCTGACAAGCCACCTTTGATTTTCTGAGTGGTTTAAAGTGGCTCCTGGGAGAGGAGACAGAATTTTCTGGAATGCTCTGGAAGCTCAAGTCACTGACTCCCAGCCGCTGGACTTGAGTCCTTTCTTACTGTTCTCTCCAGACACCTCGAGGAGGGCAGGGGTGTAACAGCCACCAGTGTGGCAGCATGGCTATCAGTAAAGACTTGTTTCTAACAGTGACATCACGACATTGTCGTTGGAGAATGCTTTCTACAAAGTAGTGACTGAGTTTAAATGCAAAAACCTGAGTACTCAAAAGACAAAGATAAGTTACAAAACTCAGCCCGTAGGAGATACTAGTGTAAACCGGTCCCACAAAGCTGGCAAAGAATTTCCGAGAAGTATGATACACATTTCACAGGAGGCTCAAAAGAGGAATAAGGGAATGCTGCTCAGACTTTTTCTTCATTAAACTCATTTTTCTAGTAAGTTTTTTTGTTATCCAATCAGTTTACACCCAAACCCTTCTGTATTAGTTATGTATTGCCATGTAACAAGTTGTCCCCAAACTTAACAACTTGAAATGACCAACACTACTTATCTCACAGTGTATGTGGGTGCAGCATGCGGGCATGGCTTAGCTGGGTGCCTGTGCCTCACGGACCCTCACAGGTGTGGGCCAAGGCTGTGGTCTCATCTTAAGATTCAACTGGAGCAGGATAAGCTTGCAAACTCACTCACACGGCTGTTGACAGGACTCGGCACCTTACAGGCTTTTGGACTGAGGGCCTCAGTTCCTCACCGACTGTTGGCCAGAGGCCTCCCTCAGTTCCTTGCTACGTGTGCCTCTTCATAGGGCAGCTCATAACATGGCAGTGGGCTTCCCTTAAAGCAAGCCAGTGAGAACACGAGTGAGCAAGTCAGAAGCCGCAGTCTTCTCGGATGTGACACCCCATCACTTGCCATCGTCTATCTGTTCAGAAGCAAGTCACTAGGTCCAGCCCACACTGAAAGGGAGGGGATCACACAAGGGCAAGAATACCAGGGTGTGGGGATCATGGGTCATCTTAGAGGCTGCCACCCACATCTTCCTTTGCATGTACAACAACAGACAAATTAACACCGAAGTGGGAGGAAAATCAGAAAGCAGCAGGGGAAGGGGAAAATGTCCCAGGATGGAATTACTTATCCCTCCCAGCTCTCTCTCTCTCTGTTTCCCCAAATCCAGCCATGCAACATATCCTCTGATGAGGTGCTTTATTCTCATACCTGTCTCCTCTTCCCCACCTGTATGGGACCACCAAGTTCAGGCCTTCATTTCTTCACACTATGATACCACAGCACTACTTTTTTAACCAGCTTCCATAGTCCAACATGTCCTGGACACCAAGGCCAGAGTAATCTTTCTAAGTCACATTTGACTTCTCCCTATGCTGCGGAAAGCCCCTTTAGCGGCTCCCCACTATCAAACAAAACCCAAATTCTTTAGGATGCCATTCGGTGCCGTCCATAATTTGACCCAGGCCTGAATATACAAACCCATCATCCCAGGTAAACGACACTCAACACCCAAACGCACCACACTCGTGTTCATTTTGAAGCCTCCAACACCATCTCTTCCCTCCCTTGGCAAGACCAGTCTTCAGCTTACCATTATAAATCCTTCCCAATTTCCAAGACGCAAGGCAGATCCCATCTTCTCTGCGACACGTTTTCTGCTCCCTCCAAACTAGATTTCAGTCCCTCCTATGAACAGATGAACAGGCACAGCTCTGGGAGACACACCCTTCACTGCCCTGGGCAGGAACTGGGCACATGTCTTGTTCTCCCAAGTTACTGATAAGCTTCACACCTTCCTTCTTCCACAGGCACCACCAGAATGCACCTCCACAAGAGCCGGGCTGGGTCTCATTTGTCTTCCTCTGCTGAGGCTGGCTGGTCCATGACAGGCAATATTTGTTGACAAGATGAATGGATGGATGGATGGATGGATGGATTTGCCAAGCACAGTGTCTAGCATAGCATAAGAGGTCAATAAGTAATAACTATTTGTTAACACCACTAATCTTTAAAATAAGAATTCTCCACCCAGTGGTACTTTGGCCACTTAGTGGTTCCCATGTAAGAACCCTTTCAAAGAGAGCGAAGGCAAATGAAACTTATCTGGGTCTAACAAAAAACAAGTCCGTTCACACAAACATCACAACTGAAGACCAGTCCGCAGCTCCTCCTTCGTGGCCCATGCTGACCCTGGCTTTGAGGACGCCCGGGCAGAGGCATTAGACCGCAAAGCCAGGGCAGAACTCAGGACAGAACAACTTCAGATCTGTGCGCTTCAGCCATGGGGCAGAAACAAAAGTGGTGAGAACTAAAAGGCCGCTGGGGAAACAGAGGACAAATACATCGATTGGGGGTTGGGGGTGTCCTTATGCTTTAGGTAATTCCTAGTAAACAAAAGGATTTTTAAAAAAGGAGAGAGAGAGATACCAGAAGACCTTTTAAGACCTTTGTCGCCTACTCCTGGGGTGGTGGTGGTGGTGGTGGGTCGTCTCAATTAAAGCATCAAAAGTCCAAAATCCGGAGGAAATCTAACGCTTCCTTTCTAACTGCCTGGAGCGCTCAAGCCTGCGGTGACTTCTCCCAGGAATCAGATTCCTGGCGGCAGGCTGCATGCGCTAACCCGAGCCACCCCGGTCCCTCGGTAGGGAGCGCTGGAAACTGCTCCAGGGGCCTGGCCCGCTAGGCGTCATCTTCCGAGAGCCGGTGAATTCGCTCTCGTGATCCTGGATCAAAGTCTACGCAGCGGTTTTCCGAGAGCCGGAGGTACGCATCGCGCGGAGAAGCGGGGGGGCACCGGGCGCTGCGTTTTGAGCTTTGCATGTCCCGCAGCCTGAGATGGGAAGGCAGTCCCTCTCGCCCCGAACTCACCTGCTTTTGGGGACCACTTCCACCTGCGCGTTGGTCTCAGCTCCCAGTGGCATCCGCAGAGTCCTCCACGATCCGAGATCCTCCGTGAAAAAGACAGGGGGAAGGGGGTGGCGGCTGGGAAGAGAGGTCCCCAGGGTCCCTTCCTTGGCTTGGGGCGGTCGTGGCGGTGGGGTGCAAACCTGCTCGGCTCCTCCCCTCTAAGCCGCGGGGATCCCCGCGGGGGCGCCCCACCGTTGGCGACAGGGACCCGGCGAGGCAAGGACACGCTGGAAGGGCTGCATGCAAAAACTTTCCGTCCTCTAGCGGCAACTCTGCGGGAAAGCCCACCCTTCCTCCGGCCCTAGGCCGCGCCTCTCCCGGGTCTTCCCCCACCCTCCGCCCCGCACGCCCCGGCCCCCCGACCCGGGCTCGGCCGCGGGGTGCGCGCGGGGCGGCGGCGCCGCAGCATCTCCGCGCCCGGGCGCGCGGCAGCCTCGGTCCCCGGCGCGCGCTGGCCGGGCCGCGCGGCCTCCCCGGCGGGCGGGCGGGCGGCGGGCGCTCTCTGCTGCCCCTGGTGGCCGCGGGCTGCGGGCGCCCGGGCGCCGGCTCCTCCTCCTCGCCTCTCTCTCCTCCTCCTCCGCCTCCCTCCTCCCATCCCTCCCTCCCTCCCGCTTTCAGAACACTCAATGTCGGAACGTTCCGAAGATGACGTCGGAGCGTTCTCGAATCCCGTGTCTCTCGGCTGCTGCTGCCGAAGGAACAGGGAAAAAGCAACAAGAAGGAAGAGCAATGGCGACACTGGATCGCAAAGTGCCCAGTCCGGAGGCGTTTCTGGGCAAACCCTGGTCCTCCTGGATCGACGCCGCCAAATTACACTGCTCCGACAGTAAGAACCCCACCGCCTCCTCCTCCCTTTATTATCCTGTAACCTTTCCATTCACCTAGGGCCACTGGGAAAAAGTGTGTGTGTGAGACAGAGTGGCCCCCGGAGTCGTCCATGCTTCTCCCTCTCTCTAAATAAATACACCCGGAGACAGACCATCAGTGCACAGAGAGAGGCCCTGCTGCCAGGGCGGCAGGCTGGCTGGCTGTGCCCGGCTCCCCGTGGCAGCCCGCGGGGTGGGCTTTCACAGCCCCACGGTGTGTCTGTTTAAAAGGCTACTCTGTTGCTGCTTGCATAGTTTTTTTTGGTACCTATCTGGGCCAGGTAGATGGAAATCCGGACTTGGGAGAAAATGTTGCATTGTCAATTATTGAAAGATTTTCATAGACAGTATTTATATCCATCTGTTTGCAAATAAACACTCTCCCTCCCCCCCCCCTTGACTTTGGCTTTTTTCCCCCTTTTTCTCTTTTTTTTTCCTTATTTTCTTTTTTCCTTTTCTTTTTCATCTGCAGATGTAGATTTAGAAGAGGCTGGAAAAGAGGGTGGAAAAAGCAGGGAGGTTATGAGGCTCAATAAAGAAGGTAAGTGGAGCTACTGGCATTTTAGTGTTAGCATGTGTGGCAGAATCTTCACAGGATTTCGACTATAATGTGAATTGTTCTGCTGGGTACAGAGTGACTAAGGCTTGTCAAAAATTGAGCACGCCCAGGTGACTCCTGCTTCGTGTTAACTTCTCTCAAAGTATAAATACAACTGGGGGGTAAGAGGCAGACGGTTGAAGGCAGAAGTTTACTGCACTTTGACTGGAGCCCACATTTGGACCTTCTGATGTCTATCTGCCATTCGCCTTTGGAGCATCATTGCCAAATGGTGGGGGGTAGAAATCCCTGAAAGGAAGACGGGGGGCTCCCTTCACAAGCACCCCAGCCTTCCTTGTGGGTAAATACACAGCAGTTTAATGAACCCCACATGGTCAGTCATTCGAGCAGCGACTTCTCCACTCTCCGCTGAAAACCCCTGTCCATGGCGAACCTCTGTGGCGAGTTACGTTCGGCCCACTTTGCATTGGGTCAAAGGTTGTTGTGTGGCGATCAGGGTCAGGGGCATCTGTGTGTGCAGCCCCCCAGCCAGTTGCCCACCTCTCTTTCCCCAGCATGGAAATATAGTACCTGAAATGGGACACAGTGAGTAGGTAGATCATCCCAGAGTGAGGCAGGCAAGTGAAGCCACAGCCTGCTGGCACTGGGCATCAAAAACACATGGTCGTCATAAATAAATCATATCCTGTTGGCGTTTGCAAGCCTGCCATATGTAACTCTGGCCTATGGGCTTTACATGGGGCAGCTCCAGAGGCCACTTTCTGCTGCGCAATTGGATGGCTTCCTTTGAATCGTGATTTGCTAACTGATGTCTTGTCAACACAGTTGGCTGAAATTGGGGGTGGGAAGAAGACTCAAGGGGTGCGAAGAGGTTGGGGGCAAGTGTTGAAGGAGTTCAGCCATAAGTAGGCCACAGGAGCATTGCTCATCCAAAATGGATGGAGAAAAGGCCATTCGACTCCAAAGAATGGTCTCCCTCTTAAGCCTGAATGTCATCCTGTCAGGCAGCCGAAACCCGCTTGGAAAGATGGAACTCATTTGTGGATCGACACCCAAGACAGTCGGTTTTCTGTGCCTAATCGTTTCCTGACCATCCAGCGAGAGGAAAATTTGTGCTTCAGAAAAAATAACATGGAGGTTAAAATGCATGCATATTCAAGGACAGCTCTGTAGCATAGTGTTTCTGCTAATTAGACACTTTGATTGGGAATGAAACCTTATTCTAAAGATGTTTGCCTCTAAATATCTTAGTATGGTCTTGACGTGTGGCTTCAGAAGGCACAAGGGAATAATGTCAAGTGGACTTCTCACAAGTGGCAGCTTATCTGTGCTAAATGTCCATGTGTGTTGGCAATGGAAAGCATCTTTAGAGACGGTTTGTCTTCACAGGCAAACTCTTGAGATCTTTACAAGCTTAAGGGACTCGGTTATCAGACCCCTGGCAGCAGAAAGGTTTCCACCAAAGAAGATGAGGTTGTGAAAACCTTTGAATTCGAGTTGACTAAAGGTCATGGTATGGCACAGAATTGACACCTCTCAGGCCTGGGTGATAGATTATGACTATAACACACAAGACTCATATTCTGTGCCCCCCTCCCTACTTCTGTTTCAGAAGACTCTTGTTCTCAGATTCTCTTTGCCTCGTGAGAAATAGCTTCTTTTAAGGAAAAATGAAAAGCTTCCTCTCCTCAGAAGTCACAAGCTGTACATCTTGCTTATTATATCCTTTGTCCTATAAAGGTACAAAGATTTAGCTCCTAATTATATGCATCTGTATTAAGGACACCCACTGTTCAGGTAGCGTGCGTTTGCTGAGTTCACCCGATAGCCATGCATGGGCTCACATCTCTTTGTTCCTGGGCCTGGTGGAGCCAACTTGGGTTAGCAATTCCTGAAGGTCTTCCTGGTGTGGGCCGCAGCCTTCTTCCTAAGCAGAATATATGTATACGAAATATATATCCTGCCGTGGTGAGGAATCTAAGAGTTGAGCTGGGACCCCGTGTCAGAGCGTTGGGCTGCAGGGTCTGCAGAAACACTGGTTGCGTTAGTCTCGCCGTGGGCCTTCTTGTTGGAGCCGTCATGCGGGAGGTGAAAGGATGGATCCGTGTTTGTGAATGGGTCTCTGCTGCACACAAATTGGCCTGGGTGTGATTGTGTTCATCCCTGTGTGTGAGCACACATAGATTGACCCTGACGCTGTTGGTGGGAAGCAGGTCTTGAGGAGAAATGCGAGCTTTGATAGCAGTGAATGACTAAGATAGAGCTTAGGCATTCCAACTGAGAAACGAAGGGGTAGGTTCCAGATTTTGATAGGATTTTTTTCGTTGCGGTAAAATAAACATAACGTAAAATTTACCATTTTAACCATTTTTAAAGTGTACGATTCAGTGGTACTAAGTACATTCACAATGTTATACAACCATCATCACTATCCATTTCCCGAACTTTTTCGTCACCCCGACCAGAAACCCTGTGCCCATTCCCGTCTCCCCTCAAGCCTGGTAACCTCTATTCCATTTTCTGGCTCTATGAATTTCCCTATTCTATGCATATATATATATATCATGCCAGCCCTTTGT